CATTGAAAGTTCTCTAGGAGCATGTCTCTCAGAACCTCGTAACATGGTCTTTGATAGTTTTTCACAATCACGCAATAGTTTCGTCTCAACTTTCTTTTCAGTAGCAGAAACAAAAAAAATATCACAGCATATCTACGAAGAAATGATGATGACTGTGGCGAATCACCCGTCCATTCGTCTGTCCGCGCGGGCGTGCGTGCGTGCGTCCGTGCGTCCGTCCGTCTGATGGTTTGTCAGTCCAGCGACGAGCACGAGCCGTTAGGGCCCTCCGCGCCCACCGCTGCGCTTTGTCCATGCCTCACCAACGATCCAACACGTACGGTGACGATTCAGCGGACCAAGAGAGGCAATCGGTCCCCGCGCACCTAGGCACAAGTCCGCGCAGCAGCCATTCGGATAGTAGTCGGTACAGCGTCATCTAGAATATCCTTACTCAACCGCACTTTGTATGTACTAATATCAGACGGCACCACCTATTATACTAGACGGGAGATACCACCGGTTACGCCTGACGCGGGACAATGCTAGACTAAGAGGAGCTTCACTCCTAAAAGGATCACAAAGCCAAGCCAGGACTCTAGGGTGAATGGGGGACCACTGGACCACCTATAGGCATTCGTTTATTCAATTTTCAAAAAAAGAGAGGACCTTCCCTTTTATATATCCATGATTCACTACACACTTTAACTTTATCCTCGAAACCCGACTTTACGAAGTTCTCAATCTAACTAAAAATTCTCCATTCCCCTGTGAATACCAATTGGGTTACACGTTGTCACTAATCAGGAAATAAGAACTAATTTGGTTACCAAACTCAATTTAATGAAGTTCTTACTAAAATTATTGAGTGTAAAAAGCGGTATCTTTCTTTTATAATTGACCGAGATCGGCTTTTCTTTGAGCGTGCGCTCGAACGCTATCACCTTATCATATAGGCGTCATTGCTCTAGCTTTTCAATTTCTTGTTGCCTACAAGCAATATGGAGCCGAAGAAAGGACAACAAGCACGAAAAGCACAAGTGCACTGTGTCGCCACACCGCCCTTCTTTTATGCACATGATAAAATTCGTTTATTATGGCACATGCTGAAAATACAGTGTAACGCACACGTGTTGGTTTCATCAGCTGACTCGGTGCATTTGTTCCTTTTTTCTTTTTCATTTTATTTATTTCCCAGCTCTGATATCAAACGTCAGTTGCGAGAAGCGTTTGTGCCTGCCGTGTTTCTTTGTTTTCTGTGCAAGAAGTTCCGCGCTATTCAGCTTGTAATTATGGATTACCAACAAGCCCAAGGCAACACATTGCTCAGTCATGTTTTCTTTGACGAGACTGCGCATTGCATCCGTGCACGAAATAACGGACTCGCCAGTCGGTAGTGCTCTTACTCTATGAATGGTGCTAAGGGCTATGGTGGTTGCTTTCATCATTTCGTGACAGATGTGACAGAGAGCACTAATCATATCCTCGTAACTTTCTCGCTCGGCCTTCTCGCACAACCGTTCACTGCATTCATTTTCCGTGTCACCACATACCGGTAACCTCTCATAGCTTTCCACGACTTAAAGAGACTCAGGTCATTGAAGTTTTCTGGAGCCCTCGACTTCGGCGTCTCTGATGATCATATGGTGGTGTTGAGAGGGTAAACCCCACATAGTCAATCAATCAAAGCTTCTCATGACTGTCTATGTGGCATACGTCGCACCGGCATGATGTACCCCATGTCTGGGTCATCCTCGGGCCGTCCTTGAGGACGCGCAGACGTAAGCTGCCGGCAAAACACAATGCCGTGGTAGCTTTTGGATGTCACAAACTTGCTGTTCCGAAAGACAGAAATATTCATTTTCAAATTATTAATACGTATTCACTTCAATAATTTTTATTGAGGCAAAAGTCGGACAAATTATGTACCAGTGAAAGGTATTAAGCAAGCTTCACCTTCAAAACACGTGGAAGCACCGCTGCACAACGGTGTACGCTACGCGGTTGTGAAGGGGGCAATATGACCACTTGATTGTATGTATATATTGGAACACGTTCGGCCAATGACTCTATATGTCGGCGGCGTTTGCCAAGAGGAAAAGAAAAAAACAATGAATTCACAAGCTTTATGAATTATTTCTATTATCAGTAGAAATAAGCATCAAAATAACGCAGATTCTTTTGGAGGGCCGCCAAGAAACCACACCTTGCCCACCTTAGATCAGGTGCAATCATCTACCCCCCCCCCTAAAGAAACCTTCTAATATACCCAGCCACTACTGAACGAAAAGAAGACCTTATCTCGAACCTGACCCTCATCTGAGCCGATGTGAACCACCAATCGACCCCAAGAGGCTCCAGACCATCTCCCTTACCACACCGCCCGTTCCCAACTGCAGAATGCACTGACCCTGTTCCCCAAGGCAATGTAACAAAGACAATCTTTTGTTGCGATTACCTCTTTTGATCTGATGGTTCTAAAATATTTAGGACCCTTCAGGAAAGGCAAGAGCTGCAGTAATGTCGCACGCTTCAAACGCTTTCTCTCTCCTTTCGTAACAGCGAGTGCGGTGGAAACTATGCAGGAGGCAGGAGGAGGTAATGACAATAGCGTAAGATTCTACGTCTGTCCGTCGGTGCGAGTGATGACCTTGAGCACTATCCTTTTTGTTCATTTTTCGTTCAATCCCGGGCGAGTTCCCGGCACGTCACGGCGTCCCGCGGCTGCCGTGGCAACTATACAGCTCACGACGCTCAAATCAACCAATGGCTGTGGACCTTGTGTTGAAGACGCGGTCATCATGGTCTATGGCACCATTTTTCGAGATAAAAGTGAGTGATTTCTAGCTGACTTTGGAAACTATTTGTAAATTACAGGCCCCGTGCTGCGCCACAATGTTTGGCTCGCATGTTCTCTTGAGTCTCGACTACCTGATCGGTAGTGTTCAACATGCGAAAAAAACTGTTACAGCGCTTCTTTAAGCTGTACTGAATTTGCCCAGTACATGAGCATCTAGCATATCGAAATACGACGCCACGACCGGGACTATACCGGCGACCTTCAGGCCAGCAACCTATAGTAGCGTCACATCTGTACCTCTACGGCAGGCCTCTCTCTTTCTTCGTAAGTATTTCGTTTGCGGTACTGTACACTTTGGAACACGCTTCGGCGGTTAGCAGCACTTAGCAAAGCTAGTTTGCAGAAACACGGGGCAGGCGTAGAGAGGACGCGCCTCCACTACCGCACGCCTCGTGCAATTCAATGGACAGCCGCACAGCGTCCACGCTGGCCGAAAAGGGGCCCACCAAGCGAACCGTCAGCGCGACACTCGAGCGTTCTCGATTTTGTATGCACTCGTGGTCAGCCGCTAACGGCCGCCAATGGCCCATTCATTCTCGTTTGGATGGCGCCACACCGACAAGGCCTGGGCGGGACGGCGTGAAAAATGTCCCGGAAGCCGTAAGGGAACGAATTTAATGGACTGTCCTTTACGTGGGCCGCATTGGGACGCGAGTGCGGCACGTGCGGCAAGTGACGGCTGTGCCTCTCGGGCGGCCCTTATTTGCTCGTAAATCCTCGTGAATTGCGCGATTCGTTTCATTCTGCCGGGAAAGCAAAGCAACAACGTATCACATTTGTGGCTGCACTCGTCATGGTTCTTTTCAACCGCACTGCCACAAGCAGCAACTTCTAAGGCAAATCTTTCTCGAATCATCCATTGCGTTTGCCTGTTGCCCTTCACCGACTAAATTCGCATTATTCATTGAAAGGTGGCAGGATCAGTCGGTGAGACGCGAACTAGATTATTAAAAAGACGTGGGGTTCCTCATGCATTTACTTAGGACGACTCGGGAGCAAAAACCATATATTTTTTCCCTCTCAGCCGATGTGAATTGATGCGGACCCTCCGCATTTCAGTAGCTTTCTGCTCCTAACGTAGTTTTCAGTACCTCCAAGATCATGGCACCTCACCTGGACAGAAGAAAAGCTTCCGTCTAGCATCAATAATCAACAGCAACCTGACTACTACCACTGCAGGGCAAAGGCCTCTCCCATGTTTCGCCAATCAGGTCGGTCCTGTGCTTCCCGTTGCCGTGTTATACGAACAAACCTATTAATCTCGTCAGCCAACCTAATTTTCTGTCTTCTCTTCACGCGTTTGCCTTCTCTTGTAAACCAGTCAGTTACCCTTAATAGCATGCAATTATCCTGCCTACGCACTGCGTGTCCAGCCCCTTCCAATTTCTTATTAGAGGTTTTAACTATATATCCTAAACCGCGGTTTGTTCGCTGATCTACACTCCTCTCTTCTTGTCTCTTAAGGTTACACCTATCATTTTCCTTTCCATCGCTCGCTGCGTCATTCTCAATTTAAGCTGAACCTTTTGTGTAAGTATCGAGGTTTCAGCGTCGTATCCGTGAGAACCGGCAAAATGCATATACCTTCCCCTTGATGGCTAGTAGTAGAACACCATTCATGATTTAAAATGCTTGCCAAATGTAATCCACCTCACCCTTATTCTTTAGTTATTTCACTCTAAAGGTTTGGCTCCACTGTGTTAGGTTCAGCGCTTAGCCGAAAAGAGGGGGCGGCATTCCGTGTACTTCTATAACGAGTCGCCGAGGGGCTGCTAGCCTGCGGAAAGCCGTTCTAGCCGGGACATTGTCATTTCAAGCCGGGAAACGAAGCGTTATGCAGTCCGGCATCGCAATCGACCACAATTTGGTTTTGGCCGTGACAACTTTGCTTGAATGACCAGTGGCGTCACTGTGGTCGTTTTGATGCGTTGGTACGAGCGTGAAACTCACCACGCCAGGGACCTTCTCACGAAAACGAAGGGACACCGTTGTGCCGCAGTGGAAGCGTAGTGACTCTGCCCCAGTCAAGGACGCTGACGTGGGCTGGTGCAGGCGGCCCCGACGAAGGGGGTGTGCGTCCAGAGATTGGACAGCGTAGCTTGGAGCCCTTTTCCTCAGCCACGGATCTGGGGAAACGAAGCTCTATATCCCCTTCAGGCGCAGCGTCCACATTTGTGGACGCCAACTTCACAGCTCAATATCTCGAAATTTACTTTGAATCTCGCGCGCAACCAGTGCTCTCTCTATCACTACATGTTGCTGCAGCGACCCGTGGCGCCATCTGCCGCAGCTGACACAAAATAACTACAAAAACAACTCTCAAAGATGGACGCCTCCACGTTTTACGGCGGCGCACGTAAGTGGCTCTCACTTTTCAAGCCCTTGCTATGTTTCATTCGAGGTGGCATGAAATTATGCACTTGTCAGTAAGAGCTAAGAGATACCTCATGCCAATAAACAAGACTTTTGCAACTAGAAACTATTTATAACGTCAAAAAGGGTGCGTAAAATACCGCGTCCACGATCGTGGACATTGCGCCTTAGTGCTGCCTTTGTTGCAGGGCAGCCATTTCGCACCGTGTGCGCAGATATGATGGTTATGTGTGATTTTTTGTCTCCAGGACTTGAAGATCATGCTTCAAAACGTCAGAAAGTTGATGATGCGACAGCAGAAGAAATCCTCATGAGAATATCAAATGGAGATATCTCAGATGGCGACTTTTCAGATGACGAATTGGAAGCAGAAAATGAAGAAAACATAGTAAGTTTGCTCGAGATTGTGAGACATTATTTTGTGTTCTCGGGAAACATATGGCACCAAACTGTCTAAAGGTACTTTGACCCTAATTTACGCTGTTTGTTTCAGCCTGCCAATGGTCAGGTGACCGCATCCACGACCACAGCTGCACTGCCTGCACGACCAGACGCCACGGTCAGCTCGAACGCACCTGCGGCATCTACGAAGGCTGAGTTCAAATGGGTGAAGAAAGATTTTGCTCCAAGTGATGTTGACTGCCACTACAATCCTGAAGTAGCCTCGACATGCCAGCAGCCACTTGTGTATTTTAGCAAGTATTTCACCGAACAGATATTTGAAGACCTTGCTGAATTCACAAACAGGTATGTCCTGCAAAGAGACGGTGCCGTATTAGCCACTACAAAAGAAGAGATCAAAATATTTTTTGGAATGCTCATGCTGATGGGTGTTCTGAAATACCCACGCGTCAGAATGTATTGGCAAACTGCAACGAGGATTCCCGCAATAGCCGATTCGATGGGCGTGAAGCGATTCTTCAAATCAGAGGCGCTCTCCACATAAGCGACGCTAATGAAGAACGGGACCCGAACAGCCAAGACAAATTTTGGAAAGTTAGGCCGTTGCTAGAAGCTGTCAGAAGCCGCTGCTTACAGCTTGTTCCCTTGGAACAGAATAGCATCGATGAACAGATGGTGCCGTTCACAGGACGCATTGCTGCAAAGCAATTTGTGAAAGGAAAACCGAACCCAGAAGGCGTGAAGGTTTTTGTACGCTGCAGTTTTGACGGTCTTGCACATGACTTTGAGTTTTACCAAGGGAAGGGAACGGGAGTGAGCAAAGAACATGCACATCTTGGCCTTGGTGGCTCCGTCGTAATGCGCCTTGTTGAAAGCCTCCCGAAGGCACAGACCATCAAGTGCTACATGGACAATTATTTTACGTCCGTGAAGCTCTTTCTTGAGTTAAAAAAGATCGGCATTTTGGCTAGTGGCACAATTAGGGGAAACCGCTTGGCAGGATGCGTCATGAAAACAGACAAGGAAATGAAGAAAGAAGGACGGGGAAGCTATGATGAGCGGGTTTCCCAGAACGACGAAGTTGTCCTTGTTCGTTGGCAAGACAACGGGACCGTCAACATGGCTTCTACCCACCTTGGAGTTGGAAATATTGGCACCGTGAGAAGATGGAGCGAATCCCAAAAGGTCCACGTTGACATTGACTGTCCAGAGGTAGTCCTGGACTACAACAAATACATGGGTGGAGTAGACAAACTAGACTTCATCATGTCCCTCTACCCAATGCGGACGCGAACGAAAAAGTGGCCTGTGAGAGTGATTTCCCATTTTGCATCTTTTGCGCTCTCCAACAGTTGGCTTGAATACTTAAGGGATGCCAATAAAGCAGGGCTACTAAGAAAAGAGACACTGGACATGATGGCGTTCCAAACAGACGTCGCGAATTGCCTGCTGAACAGCAATAAGCCACAAAAGAAGCGTGGACGTCCGAGCAATGACAACTCCCGAACAGTGAAAAAGAAGGTACCCAATGCTTCACCACTACCAGTCAGCACTGTTCGCTATGATGGGATTAATCATTGGCCGCAGCAAGTAAACATGGCTAACGCACAACGCTGCCGGAGAGAGGAATGCACATCCAAAGCCGTGTCCGCTGCAGGAAATGCAACATTTTCCTTTGTCTGACATCTCAGAACGACTGTTTTTATTTGTTTCATACCAAATAGACTCTTTCTGATTATTTTTGCGGAAAAGACTTCCTAAGCAGTGTTCCTGCAATGATTATTTGCGAGCCTCCGAAATAAAAGCGTTTGTTTTCTTCTTCTCCACCGTTCATGGGTATTGCAACAAGGAAAGCGAGATGTAAAATATGTATTTACTAGAGCCTATACAACAGGCAGTATGGCGAAAAACCCACGCACAAGCCATGGCGCACCTTCGTCGTCTTCCTTTCCCTGCGTCTTCGTGCGCGCGCTTGGGTAACGGTCACGTGACAATATGACTGCTTTGAGGCGCAATGTCCACATATGTGGACGCCATTGAAAAATTGAACCAATGAATTTTTTTCTGAATTTCTTGTGGATTCCTTCTTTAATAGCGTTATGTATTCATAATCTGAACAAAATTTTTTTTTCGCTACGTCAGATTTAATTCGCGCCTGAAGGGGATATAATCAGCGCTTGCGGACTACTTGAGGTTGATTCGATACAAGAACGCCACTATGTAACTTAACTTTCTTTTTTATCTCTCTCTGTATTGTAAATGAACGTCTGTACTCTGTTTTCCCGTTCAAGCATTGCTCCTTTTTGTAAAGAACGAGTCCGATGGGATGGCCAGCTACCAACGACGAGACCGACCAGACCTGAGTTGCAACAGCCATTGCTACCTGTCCTAAGCATACATATTCCTTTGCTACAACCTGTGCTTTGCCACCTGGAAGTTGTGAAAGAATGCGTAGCACGTTCTCACTGGCAAATTGCCCCAACATCAGGGCGGTGGCCTCTGGTGGGAAGACTTTTTCGTAGTGCTGTCTCGTACATACGTCACAAACTGTATACTTCTTCAACTGAGTGTATATTCACACGATATCTGCCAACGCCTCCGTGATTTGAAGCTGACATGAATGTTGCATTTTCGAGGCGTGAAGAATGTTTTATAGGATGAGGAATTAGTTACCTGCTTCTCATTACTACTACTACTGCTACTACTACTACTGTTGCTACTACTACTACTACTACTGATGCTGCTGCTGCTACTACTACTACTACTACTACCAACCACGCAAATACACGGCAACGCCTCTTTGGAATTTAAAGGACCCCTGACACCAAATTTCCAAAATCGAGTTACTTGTGTTGTTTGATAGTCCTGCATGCGGGGCCACCTCTGACCTATTATCAGTGACTATCGTTGCCTAAAAATATTTTAATTTGGTTTTAAAGTAATGGTGCGTGCTCATTCAGTTATTCAGGTGCAATCGACATTTTTCTACGGTTTCGCGTAGACTGGGACTTTCCTTGTGACGTTGCAGAGGTCAAGCAAGTATCTCAGAGAACATTTGTGGGGCGCGCACAATGCAACATTTGCGACAGGCACCCGGTGAGCACTATTGAACTGCACCTGCCTACGGATGAACTAGGTAACTTGGCATACGCACAGTGAGTAGGTGTGAGGAAACACCAGCCCAGTATTATCGGCGCAGCACGGACAGAGTGTGGGAGCATCGTCACAGATATCAAATCAATCGAGGAGGTCTTTACGGCGCACTTTGAAAGGCTCTGCTCTGCAGATCATCGCCCCAAAGACCGCAACCAGCATCAAAGAATCGCAGAATTTTGCGAAGGCTTGCCCACGCTGTGTCCTGAGGCATCTGATATGCTCTGCGCTGAGGCGACGAAAGATGAAGTTTGGCAAGCCTTGAGGAAAATGAACACTACCACGGCATCAGGTCGAGACGGAAAACTGACGGGGTTTTATATAACTTTCTTCGACGTCCTAGGCGACGCACTTACTGACATGGTTAACGGGTTCATTGTTGATGGGCAAAAGCCGAGGTCTTTCAGTGAGGGCCGTGTAGTCTTGCTGCCAAAGGAGGGCATGAATCCTGATAATCCACGGTGAGGGAGGCCCATTACCCTCCTTAATACGGACTACAAACTTGTAGCTACGATCCTTGGCTTGAGATTAAAACCTTTTCTGCCCGATATAGTGTCACCCACGCAAACGTGTGCAGTGCCGGGTAAGTCAGCTTTTCAAACACTTACTCTGATAAGAGATTTGTTCTACTATGCCAACGCCAAAAAACGTTACCGGTGCTTTCGTGTCATTGGACCAAGCTAAGGCCTTTGACAGGGTTGAACATGACTACCTTTACTGCGTACTTAGAATGTTTGGTTTGCCTGAGCAGTACGTTCGCTGTATAAAGCTTCTATACACCAACATGACCAGCCGCCTTCTCATCAGTGGCGTGGAGACAGCAAGCTTTCCAGTAACAGGAGGTGTTCGCCAGGGATGCCCACTCGCACCGGTGCTCTTTGTTCTTTCCATAGATCCTCTCCTTAGGAAAGTGGCAAAGTGCACTAATATTCAGGGCTTTCCAATAACAGGTCTGGAGTCAGTTAGCATCACCGCTTATCCGGATGACATTTCTGTGTTCGTGCGAAACCAAGCCAGTTACCGCGCTTTCTTGGAGCTGTTCGAAGAGTATGCCAGTTTATCGGATGCTTTTCCGAATGCGGAGAAAAGCAAAGCCCTTGGTTTCGATAGCTTCCATGGCTCTTTTCCGGGTGGTATTCAATACGTGGATGCCGTAAAAGTCCTCGGGGTATACTTTCAAGACGAGGAGGTGGCCGAAAGAAATTGGGAGGACGCCGTACACAGAGCCACTCAGGATTTCGCGCATGCCACTGACTTCAATTTGTCACTTGACGCCAAAGTGACGGTGGTGAAAACCAAAGCACACTCATATGCTTTTTATATCGGGCACATTGCACTCATACCCAAACTTTTTGCGAGCCACCTAGCGTCATTTGTTGGAGCCTTCCTATGGGACAGGAAGACACCAAATGTTCAACAAAAGTTCCTGAAGCTCCCCAAAAGTTGTGGAAGACTCAGTCTGCCAGATTTTGCAACATTCACAAAGGCACTTGCAGCTAAAACAGTTCCCAAATTGTTTCAGGACAATGACTATCCTGGCCGTAGCTTATTGCTATATTGAAGCGGAACTCTTGGAGCTGCATTCACGTCGGAAAGGTACCGGGGACCTCAAGCAGAACACCCACATGCCTTTTATAAGGCAGCAAAGGGCCTCAAGCGTTTGGTTGACGGCGACGCCACCGAAGAATACTTTGCAAAGCTAGAACCCGCACGCATTAGCGAAATGTTAATCAGTCGCTCAATTACTGACGAGGAAAAACAGAGATGGAGGCTTAGCAAGCGGAAGAAATGGCGGAACAACCATGTACCGGAAATAGTTAGAGAATTTGATTGGCTGCGGCGATGGGATGCGTCGTCCACTCGTCATAGACTGTTAAAGTGGGGCGTCGTTCCCAATGACCACTGCCTCAAGTGCGGGAAAAGAGAAACGATCCGCCACACGATGTTTGAATGCGTAGCGGCTGAAGGCGTGTGGCACATCGTGCGTCGTCAATTCGGAGTGTTGATTCCTTCGAGCCAAGAGCGCAGAAGGGGCTTATTTGAACAACTCGTACTGTACGTCACAATGTTCGTCTTGTGGCGTCGCCGCTGTATGGCCGAAGCACGGCGACGACCCCAGCGAGCTGCATACCCAGCGTTACAGAAAATTAGGATGATCATGGTTCGGTACCTTACCGAACAGATGGAAACTCAGGGTGAAGAAGCATTTATCAGAAGGTGGCATACACGTTTTTTTGGAGTTCGGAACGGGAATATTGAACTTCCTTCACTGCCGTTTTAACTCGGGGGAGAAAATTGCTTCTCGTCGCACGTAATATGTGAATTTGTTCCAATTTACTGTTTTTTGCGTTTATTTTCATTGTTTTCTTGAGTGATTCGTGATCTGTGAGAATATTGGAAGTGCTGTGTGTTACATTCTGTCTATGTTCTCTTGTTTGTACACGCCAATGAAGTGATTTTGTTACACCAGACAGTTGTACTCACCTGAAATGTTGTTACCAGTTTGCAATAAACTTCCCTGTTCCGCCCTCTTTTCAGGCAGCTCCCAAGGTGGTTTACGCTCTTTACGCCAGGATTGTTGTCGTCGTCGTCGTCGTTGTCGTTGTTGTTGTTGTTGTTGTTGTTGTTATTGTTATTGTTGTTGTTGTTGTTGTTGTTGTTGTTGTTGTTGTTGTTGTTGTTGTTGTTGTTGTTGTTGTTGTTGTGTTGTTGTTGTTGTTGTTGTTGTTGTTGTTGTTGTTGTTGTTGTTGTTGTTGTTGTTGTTGTTGTTGTTTGAGAGGAACACGCTCAAAGCATCAGCAACATAGTTTCATTCTGAACCGCCCGCGGGTCTTCCTATTTGAAAACAACGCCTTTAGCGTCACCGAAGCTTGAGCGCACGTAGTCTAAGGCACTGCTCCATTGTCGGGTGCTACTTTCTTATGATATTTGCGCGAGCATTTCGAAATGACACAAGATCGTTTTGACTTACCAACGCTAGCATTATTTATACGGTCTGTTAGATAATTTACGACATAATTTCGGCGTCACCAGACGCAAAGCTATAAATTACTGTAAAAAATAAACTCACAAACAAAACTGTCGCTGTCAGGGGTCCTTTAACCTCATGAAAGCCACCGTGGGATCGGAGACACTGCGATGTAATATAACGATGTTCTTCAATGGGTTCAATAAAAACAACGGCATCTCAATTTATTCTAGTGTGTTTCTCTAGTACAATCGAAAGTCATCATTCTCGCGCACATCAACGTACCGCAACGCATTTGCTGTGCTATGTTAAGACATTCATCATCATAATGTAGCTGCTTTATGACAAGAAACTACACAAAAATAGTTTACTATATTCTTTCAGTTCATATCAAAATCAAGTAAGTTTGTGTGATGCTGATCATGCTTTTTAATTTTTTCTTGACCTAACACTTTTTAAGTTAATGCAGCCCGTGTGCCGTCAGGCAAAAACGTGAAATTTTTGCTGCATTATATCAAGAAGCATTAAGATAATCGGTACGAACAGCTCATGATGCCTTCG